TCTATGCTCATAGTCCTCAGTGAGGAGCTTCTACTGAGCCTCCTTCTCAGTCAGATCCAGTTTGAACTGAGCCAGCTGTTTTGCCAACTCTTTCTTATGGTGGCTGCTTAGCTCCAAAAACTGCTTCCTATTGGGGCCCTAAGGAGCCAGGCTGGGTGAGTGGTGGTGGTGGTGGTGGGGGGGGCGAGTAGAGGTTGGCAAGGCGCCCCTCAACTTGAGTAACATTAAGTTTGCCATGCCCACACAGACACATGACCACCTAGCCAAGCCCGCCCAGCCAGTCATTGGGCAGATCATATTAGTGTTCCACGGGATTTAAAATTATGAATTTAGTGGTCCCTGAGGTCCAAAAGGTTGGGGACTCCTACTTTAAAGAGCTGTGGTGGTGCAGTGGTTAGAATGCAGTATTGCAGGCTACTTCTGCTGCCTGCCAGCTGCTTACAATTTGACAGTTTGAATCTCACCAGGTTCAAGGTTGACTCAGACTTCCATCCTTCCGAGATCAGTAAAATGACACAGATTGTTGGGAGCAATACGCTGACTGTGTAAACCGCTTAAAGAGGGCTGTAAAGCACTGTGAAGTGGTATATAAGTCTAAGTGTTAGTGCTAGATAATTAGGCTATTCTGAATGTGGTTTGAAAAATTAAAACTCTAAAGGAATATTAAAAGTCTCTATTTGTTTATGCAAAAAGTTTTTTTTCTTTCTGAAAATATGAAAGTTAGAAAAACAGAAAAATGGAAATGGAGAATAGTTGTTTTGTTTGTTTCTTTCCTTCTGAGGCATTCCTTCCACAAGTAAAAATGAAAAATTTAATTATGAAATACATTCTAGTATTTTCATTCTAACTTGTGTGTAAAATGGTTCGGATATGAAAGGAGCTATGCTTAGAAATATATCAAATAAGAAATTCATGAATAAGTGAAAGAATATTAATTCCTGTAATTACCTTTTTAATGGATGTACTGATGTGCAGATTTATTCTATTCATTTTTCAACTTGTGTTTGTAGACTTGTTTCTCCAGAAACACCGGCAACTGAAAGTGAGATATTAGTTTTGGAAATAACAGGAGAGAGACCAATTGTTCAGCTTGTTCATGAATATGAAGAAGAAGTCAGTCAGTCCACAGTGACCCTGCTGCCAAGTGATGAACAAGAAGAGGAAATACCATGGCTTGAGCATGAAACACAAATCTATTGTTATGATCTGACTGCAGCTTGTTGCATTTCTCGTTTTTCAGAGTACATATTCAAGTGGTGTTCAGCAACAGCAGTTCTCCATCATCCCTACAGTAGAACTGATACCATTTTGGAAAAACATAATTCTATTACTGTTTCACAGATACAATTAATTCCAACCAAATCATTGCATATTTTGTTGCATGAGCATTCTTCAGAGAAATCAGATACCTTAATTGTAGACCTATCTGAAAGGGCAGTAGGTGTTCTAAGCAGTGTTTTAAATGAGACTACAGTTAATGAGACTGAAGTTACTTTTGAACTGGAGCCTAGTCATCCACAGACTGTATCACAATCCATCCTCTTAGATGTTACAATAGGAACCAAATCACCATCTATAGTAGAAGTGTCCTCTGAGCCTATAATATATGAAAATGTATCTGAAAGTCCAGAGATCCTTTCCCAAGAGGAAATTCTTGCTGAAGAAAATAGACTTGTAGTATCTATTACAGAGAAACCTTCTACATCCAGTATTATAACTGTATTCAAGGTGTTGAACACAGAAGAAAAAAACTCAATGGAAACTTCAGCAGAGCCAACAGAAATTGTTCTACAGTCTGAATGTACAGTAGATGTAGAAAGCTATGGTGTTGAAACAAAAGTTAGTTCTTCAGAAACCGAAAAGCAGGAGGTATCACTTGTGGAGTCATCATCTTTGGAAATAAAAGATGATGAGGAGACTATTGAGGAAACATTTCTTGCAATTTCAGTTTCTGGTGGGTTGCCAAAAACTGCCACAGACTTTTATGCTGAAATTCAGAATTCTACAGATTTAGGCTACACAAATGGGAATCTTGTTCATGGATCAAATCAAAAAGAGTCTGTGTTTATGAGACTCAATAATCGCATTAAAGCCCTGGAAGTAAATATGTCTCTCAGTAGCCGCTACTTAGAAGAACTAAGTCAGAGGTATGTACAATAATGGAATTCTTATTGTCTTTTTTAAAAAAAATCAAATATATTTCTCATAAAAATAGTAACTCAGCAATTGGGATCGGTATTTTGTCATTAAGTGATGAAATATTAAACGACAATGCCAGGTTATCACATTGCTAGGCAACGGAAATCCAGCAGCCCTGGTTGCCATTATAACTTGAGATGTGCAGTTTTCAAGGGGGAATCAGATGGAGTCCCAGGTTTAAGGAAAGCAGAAGTGCCATAGAGGGTGGAGGAAGCCTTGGGAGGCTGAGTGCAGCTGCATACAAGTTGAGGGAGGTGCTGCAAAGTGGCCTAAGCGCAGCAAGAGCAGGGAAAGGAGGGTTCATTGTGTGGAACTAAAAGAGAAAATAACATGTACATGTGGGAGCAAATGGGGGAAGAAAGGCACAGAGCATGCGTTGTGCATGCAAAAGGGGAAGATATGATATACAGTATGCATGAGGTAAGGGCACAATGTTGTATGTGTGAATGAGGATAAAGTGTGTGCAAATGCAGAAAGGCTGAGTTTCCCTAAGGGCTTCCCTGCTGGCTTTTTCATTGACAGCTTGTAAACCAGCTGGTAAAGTTTCAAATGGAAATCACTTGTCTATGGGATGCTGTAACCAATAAGTGCAAGCTGATTGCCAAGAGTCCAAATTTTGTTCACATGATTCTGGAACTGCTGCAAAGCTGGAATTTTGAGGGCCTGTAGAGCAGTTGAATAGTCACTGAACAAATGGCCATTAAGTGAGGACTGTAATTATTCATGCATAGAGAAATAAATTTCTATAAATTTTGAATAAAAGGACAAGGAATGTCCACAATACTTGGGGAACAGTATTTTTTTTTAAAAAAAAACATGTTAAATGTACATGATGGTCTGAAAAATCAGGAAAGCATATTTTATTCTGATGGCCAAATTTTATTTTATGTATAATTGTAAAATCATCATGCAAAACAACTTTGGGTATTGCCCCAAATTTAAAAACAACAATCCTTTCCTTGGAAGGGAAGATGTGCTCATCAGTTGAGCAGTCTTACAATGTATTTTCAATACATTTTGTTTTTCTAATTGTGCAGATATAATGATGACTAAATGAAATTGGGAAGAGATGAGAAATGATGCTAAGATTTTCTTTTACTTTGTAGGTATCGAAAGCAAATGGAAGAAATGCAGAAAGCTTTTAATAAAACAATAATAAAACTCCAGAATACTTCACACATAGCAGAACAGCAGGTGTGCATAAACCTATTTTTATTATCTGTAACTTAACTGTAACTAATCTGTAATTATTATCTGTTTTGAAATTCAAGAAAC